AACAAAATAAATACAAAAATTCAAAAACAGTTTTGATGCCCTTTTGACATTCAATTTTAAGATTTATTGTAAATTACTTTATTTGTTTTCTTTTGTTTAGTTGCTTGTTCACACATTTTTTTCATATACAAGTGTTATTGAAAAATTCAAAAACATAGGAAAAGAAATTTCTTTTGTTAGTTTTTCTTTGTTTGATGATCATGGTAATTCACACTTTGATTTATATTGGAATTGCTCCATCTTAAAGTCACAATTGAAATGTGCATGAGATGAAGAATTTAGTGGCATAAATCCAATTGCATAATTCATTAGCCAAAGTCTTTTTTATCCTAACGTGCTTGAGTAGGGTTTCCCTTTGAAAGATTCAAAATCAAGTACACGCATGTCATTCACTTTCACACTTAGGAGTTTAATTTGTTTAAATTATTAATGATTTTAAAGGACTCTAAGTGTTGGTAATAGATGAACACATGACTAAATGTTAGTTGAATCTTAATCCCTTAAAAGATGTCAAAAACCAATTGTGAGAAAATAGTCCAACGTGACCAAATCTAAAAGGTGAGGCAAAAATAAATGGCTAAAAATAATCTCACTTGAATTGTGAGAGTACTTATATTTAATTGAAAATTGCTCATTTGTAAAGGTCAGAGAGCTCATGTTATTCATGATTAGAAGCATATACTTATAGTACGGAATTCACAATCGTGTTAATTGAACTCATAGAGTAGAAGGGATAAAAGAAAGAAGAAGTTGTCAAAAATAGAATATTTAGGACACTCATTAACCAGTCATATTTTTATTTAGACAAAGCATTAGGATTTCATGATGAGCTTATTAATTATTTAAATCTTATCGGAATCCTTTTTGTGTTGGTAGTTGGTTTCAAATACTATGCACTTGAATTTGTCAAAGTCAAACAAAATTTAATCATGTGTGTGTGAAATTGAACAGAGTGAGGAAACATTGATCTAGGATGCATGAAATTAAGTTTTATATCTTTGAATATGCCTTAAAGTAGTGTATTGAAATGATGAAGTTCGGATGGAGCCTTTAAAATGCAAATTTGTGTAATTTACATGATTATTTGAATATTTGAGCATTTATTGTTTAAATTTGAAAAGTACATTTGATTTTAATACAAATTCATCCATGCATTGCATTGAAGTGTTTTAAGACTTAATTTACATCATGCATGCTTATTGGGGCTTGAAAGATAAGTGGAGGAGTGAAAGGTCAAGATAGGTGTGGAGCAAAAGGAACTGAATCTGATTAGTTTTCATAACTAAGAAAGTTCAAGAGGGCTTGATCGATCACACTACCGCTCAAGCAAACTTGCTTAAGTCAGAGGCCAAGGTTTTATAAACAGTGTTATGCACGTCTCTTTGCATTCCAAACCTTCTCATTCACATCCCAAGCCTCCATAAACCGTAAACCTTGCTTTTAAATCTCTCTCAAACACCTTCTCTACAAATCTTAGATTGATTCTTGCTAGATTGAGAGAGTGATTGTTGAGATGGCCCCAAGAAGAGAGAAAAGGTCAAGGGTTGAGGATGTATATGAGGAAATCGAGGAGAATTTCAATGAAGCTATTCGATTTCAGACACCAAAGTTTGTAGAGAGATTTAGACAGGAATTCTCTCTCAAGCCCATATTGATTGAAAAGGGAGTAAATACAGCAGTGGTTAATCAGTTGATTGTTTGCAAATCTGACCAACCACAAATGGACTTGGATGTTTACAAACTTTATGGTGTGTGATGATAGCATGGTTAGACAGTTTTATGCACATATTCGGGATCCCGATCCTTAGGCTGATTATTTTGTTACTTATATTTGAGTTATTGCATTTATGTTTTATGTCACTCTCATCGCTACCACACTTGACTTGCCTAGGGTAGAGAAGGATTATCTAGGTGTGACACTAGTAGATGACTTGCCTCCTCTACATGTTTTGGCTACTGAGCTATATGGTGTTGATTGGGAATTGGGTTACTCTGAATTTCATTAAAAATATTTAACCCCAAATTATAGGATGTTGAATCTAGTGGCCAACAACCGAAAATCCATATCTTTGACTTTTCTACCTAAAAGGCGCACATGCTTTATGCTTTAGGGAAAGGGTTTAATCTTGATTTGCCAATTATGATATTTGAGTTTATTCAGCGAGCCTTTTTAGATGGGAGAGTATCAAACATTGGATCTTTGAGCACTTGTATCTGCCAAAGGCAAAGAGTGGTTATCTTGAGGAGTGACCAGTTGCAGAACCCCATGAGGGCCTTGAACAAGAGTTTGATGAAGTAGGGTTTAGCCCAGGTTGAGTATGTTGTAGTGGTTAAGGAGCAAGCCCCGCCACTGCATCATGAGACTAGTATGTCTAGGGCACCACCACCTAAGTCTGATTCTAAGATCCTTGCAGCATAAATAGCATCACTTGTTGATATGATGGCTAGGGTTGAGCGCACCATGATTGAGCATCATCAGCAAACTTCTTAGAGTTTGGATGTACTAGATGGTAGGATTGTGAGCTTATAAGTGACCCAACAGGCTATGATGGGAGTAGTTGTTCGTAGAGTTGGGCGACTCAGGAGGTTGCTGAAGGGGAAGCAAATTTCAGGTGAGCCTATGACTGATGACATGGATTTTTAGATCTAGAGAAGCCCCGACGCAACGAAGGAGATGGTGGAGATACAGCCATTTGAGCTATGACTTTTAGAGACTTAGGATAGGTCATATGTGAGCTTAAGATTTTTCTTATATTTATTCATGACTTGTACTATAAAGTATTCTGTTTTTCTTATTGAATTAATCTTTTATTGACTTTTATTTTGTTAGCTATATTTTTGTTGTTGTGACCTACTCTTAGTGTTGTTCTTTGATGTTTAATCATAGTTTGACTTTGAGTTATACGTCTTGTTTGTCCCTTACTTAATTTGCTTGTATGATTTGGCTAGTTGTTATGCATTCATATCTTCTTGTTATACTATGATTCTATATTATGATTGTTATAGGTCGTCATTGGATTGACATTTGTAGCAAATAAGATAAGAATATGATGAGCAACTTGATTTTGTACAATTTTTGTTGCATGTTGTCATTGGATTGACATTTGTGACAAAAATGGAAGAATATTTTAGATACATATGGGAGAAATCATGTGTTTGGCACATAGATAGATCATTAAGTTTTTTACGGAATTATCACGTGTTGGGCACGTGATACCGTCTAAAAAAAACACGAGATCACTTCCGTCAAAAAACTTTACGAATTGTCTGATTAGGGACCAAAGTGATACGGATTGAATACTTTAGGAACTAAATTGACAAAATTAATATAATGAGAACTAAATTGACAACAATTTTTTACTTTAGGGACAAAAAATACTATTAACCCTTTAAGAATCGACATCTCTTTAGAAGGATCATGACTTTAAAGAAAAAATAACTATTTGGAGGGTTGTAACATTTGGAAAAAAAAAAAAAAAACACTTAGAAGTCAACAAGTAAGGTCCTAGACTTCATTCACAAAATACACTAGAGTTTTGTATCACTCATCTCTCTCTCTCTCTTTCTCAAAATCCAAATTGTTCAATGAGATTTCTTTGGAAGTTCTTCAATATTACTAATTGCAGTTTCTTCTAAATTGCTTTTCAGTTCTTCATCCTGTAGGCTTTGTTGCCCGGAACCGTCTAGCAACTTCACTGAGTGGCGGCAAATATTACTTTTTTTTAATAGTTAAATATCACTTTTTTTTAGTAGATAAATATCACTTTAAAAAAAACGATCTTACACGCCTCAAAACCTCAATATTATTCTATTTGTCTATTTGCTTCAACACAATATACCAACAAGGTATACCTCCTTGTGTTTCCGTGGAGCTTTATTTATAAGTGTCAAGGAATTTGAATCATATTAGGACTAGACTCTAATTTCTCTTATCTATTTGATAGGAGGATAAAGTTTATTATCCGTTATCAAATGAGAGTCTATCTCATTCTCCTCAGACTACACTCCCGTGAGCCAAGTTGAGGAACTGCTGTGCCAGGTTTTCAAAATTTGTGCTCTGTATACCTGTGGTTTGAATGGGGGCTACTCTTGTTGGAGTCGATGTTCAAAATTTGGCTTTTAGTATGCTGAATAGTAGAAGTGTTTAAATTTGGGTTAATTGCACCAAAAGTCTACAAAGTATAGAGTTTGTCTCATTTTGGTCTCTAATATTTTATTTGCATCATTTTAGTCTATGAAGTATTTAATATATTTCTATATGATCCCTTAAACAGATAATGTCCACATTGTTAAACAATTTTTAATCATAATTTGTCATGTAATATTTAAATATAGACAAAAAATAATTTTTATAGATTTTAAACAAAATTTGGGTTTTTTTTGTACAAAAAAATATGTAATCTGGGTTAGCTAGTGACCAAAATTAGAATAGCTCATAATCAAAACTGTATAATTTTGGTAACTATTTAATCAAAATTTGAGTAAAAATTTGGTTAAGAGTTATACAAATTATGTTTTTTGTCCATATTTACGTATCACGTGAAAAATTTATGGCAAAAAATTATTAACAATCTAGACGATGTCTGCTTGAGGAATTATATAGAAACATATTCAATACTTCAGGAACCAAAATAATGCAATTGAAATATTGAGGGTCAAAAGGAGACAAAACCTATACTTTGGAGACCTCCAGTGCAATTAACCTTTAAAATTTTCATTATAAAGCATTCAAAAATATTTTGAAACATTCCCAACTTTGTTGATTGGAGGTGAGGGTAGAAAAATAGCGTTGATATTAATGAACACCATTAAGTGATATTTGCATGACGAGTCCAGTTTTTTTTTTTTTTCAAAGGCTTGTAGGGAAATATTGCCGATTATGCAGGGGCTGACAGTATTGGAAAGGTTATGCAGTCAACATCTCAGCCTCGTTCCTTACATTCAACCATAAAAGAAAAGAAAAACATCCAATCCAAAATAAAATATAGCATCTAAAGGTATATTGATGAAAAAAAAATCTTTTTTTTTTGTCCTTTCCAAAACCTCTGCTCATGGACAGGGTAACCAGGTTCCAAACTTCATGGTATTATATACAAAATTCTCATACAGATTTAGGCATTATATTTCATGACAGCCTTGGCGTAATAGTAAAGTTGCTTCGCCGTCATCTGAACGTACGTCACCGGTTCAATCACCAAAATAATCTTTTCCTATGCGGACTGCAGAGGTAATGCTAGATATACCTGATTTTTTTCAGACCCTAGTGACAAGTTCTGGGCAATTAGCTGTCCATCCACTTTGGCAGGGTTGTTAGGAATTAACAGACCAATCATAATTTTTGTAAACAATATTAATAGCTCCCCCATCACCCAATAGATGAGTCAAAAGGCCTGCCTTAGTTGCATCCAAGTAATTTATGACCCACTTTGGGATATCTTTCTCTTGTCCAAAATCCACATTGAACCTGCAGGACAAAAGATTGACAAAGTACAGCATGTTAAAAATTCTGCTTCTTTGCGTTTCACATGTGTTATGAAACTTAATGCAGTGGCCATATTTTGTTAAGGTATAAAGAAATGAGAACTTTTATTTAGTGACTCACCACTTGATGATCCGGGTGAGGTAGACAGTCCTCTTGGCCAGATCCACCTCGATTCCGTCTCTTTGGAAAAACTCCCTTGCAGCGTTCCTTAGCTCAGATTCAACTCCTTGGGGAGTGAAAAATCTAACTGTTGGGCTCGATCTTGTCCCATTACAGAGTCCAAAATGAATCAATGGATTAACTTTCAGAAAAGCTAGCTGCAAAGTGGACAATTTGTTAGGAGCCTACCCATAGTTATATGTTAATATGGAACGTCATACTAAGATTTTTATCGCATATATGTATTACAGTCATGTTCACTTATTTTAAGCTAAGGAGAAAACAAAGATTGCTTCCACCTCATCTTGCACACCTCTCATATCTGATCAGCAAGATGGTGTTTCAAGCAATAAATGTGTCACATTGAGGAGAGCTATAGATAAAGGGGCTCATGGATGAGGTAGACCTCTCCCCAACATAGCAAGGAAGTGTTGAGCAAGCAGGTTTATTTTATTCAATATTGTTGCCTGCTACTGATGCTAGATAAGATTGTGGAACTAATAATAGGAATCAATATATCAGATGTTTCTAATCCTGTTTTCGACTAGGAAAGATATCTCAGTATGCACATGAAACTATAATTACCTCTAAACGCTTGTCTCCAGCACCAAAGGGTTTGACCAATGAGTAAGGCGCCCTTCGATTGTTTCTAAGTATCCCATTTAGTATTGCAGTTAGGGAATACGGATGGCCTCCAACTACATACAGGAAATCAGAATAAAAGGATCTCCTATCAATTACTCCCCCAGGATGGCCAATCCTAATCACAGCATGGATAACCATAGCATTGTACAGGTTCAAAAAGAAGGCCAGCTTCTCGTCTGCTGAGAGTGCCAGAATGTTTACCCTATGAAGGTCTTGAACCAGATTTACATATCTGCACTTGTGAACAAGCAGAATAAGAAATTAGAAGTTTACATGACTACCTTAAATGATCAAGTTCCCCGAATAGTAGCAGTGGATTAGCATTTCATAGATATTTCAAGAAACAAGCTAAAATCCACAGACAGAATGATCAGACATGCATCTTGAAATATACCCTCAATTGTTGGTGTCCATGTGCATGTTTGCTGTTCATTAAAGGGAATGATTAGATGGCATAGTGAAGAACACAATATCAACAATCATAATTTCATTCATCCCATCTACTGTTCAAAAAGGGTTTATTTCTTAATTTGCAAGCATTTATACGTTAAACTAAGTTTTTCCTAGTTTATTAGCCATGGTGGTAATTGCGAACATCTTCAAATCTTTCGTTCTGGGAAGTGGGAATTAGTTGAACAATGGGTGAAGCAGGATAAAGGATGAATGGTGTATAAGGGACAGCAGGAAACTTCTTTCAGATCTTGCACAATCAAAATTTTGAATGAAACTACCATCAGAATGAAGATGTCAGCCAAAACTGCTATTTGTGGCTTGGATAGTTGATTTGGCAAAATTGGACTTATTTGAAGAATTCCCAGTTAGTATCAGAATGTAAATTGTATATAAAAAGCACAAATGAAAAGCAGAAAACAGTGCTACAAAACTATAAAATATGCATAAAATAATATAATAACAAGAGAACAAGAGTAGAAGAGGAGAAGATTCATGCATCTGATCTAAAGTTGTCAGAACTAAGACTTTGTTTAGTTGTTTAAGCAGCAGAAAGGAATGGGAATGTTTATTGCTTTATTGCAATAAGATGTACTAGCTTTAATGTAGACGTTTACTAGGTGGTTTTCCTAGACAATGTATAGCGGGTGATAAAATGCAGTTTGAACTTTCAACTAAATATAAGATTGAAAGATACCTCCGAAATTCTTCGCTGTTGCTGATGCCCACATAATCAAGACGGCGTCTGTCATCAGAGGCATAACACTCGAGTATTGCGGACATTATCTTGGCAAGCCTTTCACTTACCAGGGCAGCAGCCTTGGGCTCACTGTCATTTGTGGATCCTCGGAAATTAAAGCATCGGGGAATGAAGGGCTCATGCTCAAGGAATCGATAGAAGTGGTTCCCATCCTCAAATTCATTTTCCCTGATTATAAAGGTTGAGAAATGATTTATTACATGATTGAAATTGATCTGAAGGATGATAATAGTTTCAATTATCTTCTCATGAAAAGAAAAGATTAGCAGCAAAAAAATTCCTTCATATGAACAAGAGTTCTTACCCAAAGACGTGATGGAGAAAATGTTTTCTTGCCAGCCGCTGCCCAATCTCGACGGCCTAAAACAAGTCAGAACACAGAGCAAGAAGTCATAAACCAGGAACGTACAAGGCCAGACAGATTCAGTTAATTAAAGTAACAACAATTGATGGAGGGCGATGGGTGTAAGGTGATGTTCAGGTGCTGCTTATTGTTGGTTTATTTGGCTAGGGTGCTACTGGATATATAGGTATAAGTGTTTTTAAGAGGTGCAGGGAAGGTGTAAATCAGTAAAGGTTTTGAGACTGTGTTGGCACGATTAATTGTTGTGGATAATGACATTGAGAGTTCCGATTTCCTTACTATCAATCAATCTTTGAGATATTAGTTGAAGGTGTGGTGAGCTGTCCAGAGATACAAGGAGAGACATATTTGAATGGCCATTTTGAAAGTCAAAGAGAGAGGAAAGAGGGAAGAAATTTTGAGCATTATAAATATCTTGGCTTTGTGACAGACAACTTTGAAAGAAACCAATGTCACACTTAGTTAAGTACTAGTTTGAAGATGAGTGACGAATCAAACACAAGCACTTCTTATACAATTCCCAAATACTATGTAGACGCAGAGAATCATGAGCAAATGAAAAGAAAACTTGAAACACAAATTTCAAACTCCAGTCATCATACACATTTCTTCAAAGGTATTTATTTCTTTTTATAAATTTGGCAAAAAGAATAAAACATTGGCAACTGTAACCAAGTCCATTCTATAGCAACTTGTATGCTGACTGTAACCAAATGTAGACCAAAATAGTTTGATACTATTGCTTCGATTCCTGTAGGATTATTCTTTAACTCATTTACGCTTCTATAATAGTTTTCTTACATGTGCACAAGAGGTAATGACAAAAAGGGAAAAGTAAGAAAGAAACAAAGAAATGAACCAGCCTAAGCTTTATTTTTCACCCAAAATTTTGAACAATAAATGAACAGGAAAAAGCATTAAATAAAACAAGCTAAGAAGTTTGATACTATTGCCCTTAAGGTTTAATGACTGGGGTTTGAAATATTACAAATAAGTTTTTACTGGCCCATGCCTTACTCCATTGTCTGGGACACGAATGACCCATATTGACCTTCAGGATTTAATTTTAATCCACTAAGTTTTATGTGAAGGGTCCACTATCAAAAAGCTGAAAAGCTCATGAGCTCCACTTCATCATTATGATGTTTTGGTACCACTAAAAGACTATGAGAAAAAGAAATGATAAAAAACTGAAATTAGGGAAAGCAACCCGCTGATGGATAGAGTAAATTAAGCTTCAAAAATTCAAACTACGGCTTGAGTTGATCAATGAACAAGTATGAAACCTATTAAATGCATGAGATGTAAACAATTCGAAACCGTGTGGGGCAACCAGAGGCTGGCTTTTTTCTAAGAAAGGATTACTTACCAAAGCATCATAATGGTGGGAGAGAGCCTAACATTTTTGAAGGAAAAAAAAACAAAAACTGTCCCTTTCTCCCTATTGACTTTGAGAGATGGGACCACTCAAACAAACATCATCTGCAGTTGGCTTTGAACTCTTCTAAGTTTTACGGGCCTGTTTGGTAAGAAAGATAGAGAATATGGGGGATAAAAATGTAGAAGGGACAGACTATCCATTCCCCGTGGAAAGAAAAGCTAATTTACAAGAGGGAGGAAATAGTAATAAAAATGTTTTTTTTTTTTTTTATATAATTTGTTGGTGAGAGGAGGACAATAGTATATATTAGAATGATAATTTGTTGGTGAGAGGAGGACAATAGCATATATTAGAATACCAAAAATGCCCCACCAATAAAAAGAGTAATTTTGTAAAAAAAATAGCATATAAAATAAATGTCAACATTCATAGATGAAGTACATAGAAGAAAAATCATAATAGCTCTTGATCCCACTCTTATCTTTTTTGTGAATTACATCGCATGTGATGATGTGAAAATAGGAAAATGGGTAGTGGAATTTGGAAAAGAAAGGAGCATGACCAGGAAGATGAACAAAGGACTTATAAACATATGTGCATAAAGAAGAAAATCACTCAATTAGAAGGATTGTAAATACCTTGGATGAGTGGTTTAATTTTCTTTTCCATTTTCGTTCCCTAACTTTTTTACTTTTTAACCAATCGAAGGAAATCTCTCATTTTCCATCTTCCTTTTTGCATCATTCATACCAAACAACCCATTAAAGAAACACTGCAGATTTGGGAATTTCATAATTCTTACTTTTCTAACAATATTAAAGTAAACTCAGGCACATGTAAAAACCAAAGCTAACGTGCTCCACTTGGTGTACTGTACTAGATTGTATCCAACCCAACGGTTGCCTCGATTTAAATTTTCTAAACTTGAAGAGCACGGGCTTGAAAAGTGGCCTAGACAACTGGAACATAGCAAACAAATGTCTGGGTCAGAAATTGTACGGTTTAGATGCCTCCATAAAAATATTATTTTTGTTTCTAGATAACTTTGAATCAAATTCTTTTAAATTAAAATTATTAAAATTCATGTGTCCATCATTAAGCTACTGCTGTCATTGGGATTTCACCACCATCACTGCATTGGGATTTCGAAGAACGACAAAAGGTAATTTGTTGCCAAAGCCATCATACAAGCCTCATGGTTGTAATTATTAATGTTGGCTCTAGACAAAGTGTCTTACGATGAAAGCAACTAAATTTACTAATTAAATATTATTAAAAAATTAAACTTTATCTCACTGTTTGAAATAATATTTTGCTTTTACATTGGGAATGTCATGATTAGTTCAAAAAATAAAATAAAATAAAATAAAACAACAGTTAAAGATTGTTTAAATCCGACCGTTTATAATTACACTTAAATTTTTAATAATTATAAATATATCAATTATAGTTTAATCTTTTAACCACTGTATACACTCACAGGAAACCCAGAATTGCCAGCCAAAATACTCTAACAAACTACTACTCATTGTCTTTAAGTTATTTAACTAATTAAAAATCTTCAGTTTGGTCAACAACTTCTAACCGTCTGTTCAATTACCAGAACAATATCCAACGGAATATAATAAACAAAGAGGGGAAAATATTTCTAATTTGCAGCCTGCCAAATTAAAAGTATAACTCAAAAATCAAACGGCAGATATCAAACTACAAATCACCATGATTGCTAATAAATAAAACTCTATACGCCGCGACACACTGAATCAGAGATAGGGAACGTACCTTCTTCCTCCCACAGTCCATGTACTGTATCATGACCTCCACCATCTCAGCGCCAGAGAAGCAATTCTTCACGATCTTCATCTTCATCAACCGGTCCTGTATCGGCAATCTCTGCCGCAAAACCCTAGCAAACTGAACCATCTCGTCGATCTTTTCCTCCTCCGGATCATCAAACCCATAAACCGGCGGCGCCGGAGCATCGTCCGGACACTTGGTCCCCAACAATTCCTTCATTCTCTGCTCGAGCATCCCACTATTACTCATCGAATTTAATGCCACAAGCCCTCCGAACAATTTCTCGTTGAAAAATATCTGGGGTACAGCAGAACTGCCAGTTCTCGACTTCAATTCTTTCTCTCTCATTGGAAAAACGTCGATGTTTATCTCTACGTATCGTAAGTTCTTTTCCCTCAGAAACGATCGAACTGCAGTACAGTCCCTACAGTTTGATCTTGAGAAGAAGCTAATTCGCCCTTTGAATTCGGAGGTTTTGAGCTTTACGATCACTTTGAGTCCGGAGAGATTGAACTCGGTCACGTTCGATTTCTGATTGTCGTCGTTTTGGGTGTTTTCTTTTAAGGATGATAAGCGCTTTGTGATCGCGGCCGATAGGCTATTGCTCTTTTCCCGAAAGAATTTTCCGATTGCCGGCATGTCAACGGCGGGGATATTTTCCGGCAAGGACTTAGATCGGTTCATTGTAGGAGAATCACGTGGAGAACTCACGATCGTCACGCCTGGTGGTGCCTCCGGCTTCGGAAGCTGCGAATGAGGAATCGTCACCGATACGTTGCCGTTGATTTTTGAACCAACAACGTCTATGTTTTCAACGGCCACGTCATTTTCCGGTGAACCTTTTCGAATTTCCTCGTCGTCTTTTCCTGAGGCGGGGGATTCGTTGTCAGATTCTCTGCCGTGGGCTTCTTCTCTTTTCTCAATTTCTATATCAGAAAATTCTGATGAAATCCCGATATCTCCGTGATCTTCGAAATTTGAATTTTCAACAGAATCCGAGGGATTCTCGTGAGCGAATCCGTTTGAAACCTCCTCTTCTTCCTCGTTCAGTTTTCCATTTGCAATTTTCTCACCTTTTCTCTCGTTTTCCCGAGAAAGTTCTTCACCGGAATCTCCATTTTCAAGTGGATGGATTTTCCGGGGATTGGACAGAACGTCCTTCATTGGTTCTTGTCCGTCGTTGAGCTGGGCTATTACTCTTGGGTCACGGGAGGTAGGACCGAGATTTCCGTTCTCCCCTCCATTCGATATATCAGCGACGGCAACTCCATTTTCAAGGTGATTTTTTTTCCGGGGAATGGAAACCTCTTCCTTCATCGGAAGTTCTCCACCGTTGAGCTCGGTGATTAATCTTGCGTCACCGGAGGTAGGACCAATATTTCCGTGCTCCCCTCCATTCGATAAATCCATTATACTTTCTTAGGGAAAAACGAATGAAAGTATCTGACCGAGAGAAGAGGGGGTTTTCAAATTCTAGGCGGACAAAACCATGAAGAGAGAGAGAGAAACCCAAATGAAGACGAGTATGGAATCTAGGGAGAAAGAGAAGGTGCGGAGATACCGGAGACAGTTACAATGGAGGGAATATATATAGGGACAGACGTACAGTGATATGAAGCTGGGCTGTTGTGTTGAAGAGATGAGAGAGAATAGGTCAAGATAGGTGGTCATGACATATGTACGTCGTTGGCTCAGTCAGCTTTTGCTGAACCGGCGATTTCCTTTTAACGTTTCTCGCCGGCGAAAACTGTCATATCTAGGCACCCTAAGACAAAGATGAGTAATGAATCGAATTTCGTCTCTATACATTATTTTAATCACTTAAAAAATAGAAAAGTTTTAAAAATATTTTTAAAATAAAATAAAATATTAGTTTAAATATAATGAAAAATCTTAAAATACGTCAAAATATTTCAAAATAATAGTAAAAATATATATATAATAAAATAGCTCGCAAGTTCAATTTTATCCTGTACACATTTTTCCTCTAAAAAATATCATATCACTTATTTCTATCACACGTCAAATTATTTTAATATTTGATTAAATTATAATTTAATATATTTTTTACTTCAAACATTATCTACGCATAATAGTATACATATATTAAAAAAATTATTAAATTACTTATTTTTTTAAAAAATTGTCGATATTTTTAAGAAAATAATGAATAGATTTTAAATAATGTAATCAAATAAATGAAAGAAAGAAAAATTATTGTTTAATATAGTGGGATAAATTATTTTGAGCGTTCAAATTTTATGTTCTAGTGTGCCTGAAGACAGTTGTTATAATTAGTGTAAAAATAAATCAGAACAATTGAAAATATTAAAATTTTGATTCGATCACTAATTACTTGCGATCTCCTTAGAAGCTGAAACAATTCGATCATTTTGATCATTTCAATATCACAATTCATAAAATGACATAAAAAATATAGTTTAAATAATATTTAATTGATTATAACTAAAGATATGAGATTTGTAGGTGGATATTGTTGGGGATATGGTTTGGCACTGTCGAAAATCATGACTACAACTTAAGCTATTGATTCTGGAAAAAAACTCTTAAAGTAGAGATTTTAAAGCATAAATTTAGAACAACATAACATCTCAAAGGAAGTGGTCAGAGTTCAAAATTGAATATTTAAAAAAAAAATTCAATAAAAAATTCCCAAAACTCAAAGTCATCCGTGTCATATCTATTACTAGGGTAAACCATGCCAATGTGAATTTGGGGAGAATGAATTCAATGTGAATGATTTTGAGGAGAATATTGGTACTTGTTTAATGAATCTATTTGATATTATCGAATAAACTTATTGAAATTTACCTGTTTTATATTATAGATTTTTGATAATTTAAGTGTTGTTTGGCAAAGTAAAAAAGTATGGATAAGAGCAAAATAAGATTGGCTAGTACTATGTGTTTTTTCTACCAACTCTCGTTCGCCTAATAATATGTATTTGAGTTTTAATTTTTGAGTTTTATTTATGTCATATAACATTTTCTCCAAAAAAAAACTCTTAAAATAGTGATTTTAAAGCATAAATTTAGAACAACATAACATCTCAAAGGAAGAGGTCAGGGATCAAAATTGAATATTAAAAAAAAATTAAATAAAAAATTCTCAAAACTCAATGTCATCCATGTCATATCTACTACTAGTGTAACAACCCGTGCCAATGTTAATTTTGGAAAAAAGAAATTTAATGTGAATGATTTTAAGAAGGATATTGGTAAGCGTTGAATAAATTTATTTGATATCATCGGATAAACTTATTAAAATTTATCTGTTTTATATTATAGTTATTTGATAATCTTTGTGCTGTTTGGCAAAGTGAAAAAGTATGGATAAGAGCAAAATAAGATTGGCTAGTACTGTGTGTTTTTTCTACCTTACCATCAACTCTCCTTCGTCTAATTACTCTGACCACAGAAAGTATGGACAAAATTTATCCTAATGTGCATATTCACACTTACACATTTATCAAGTTATGTAAGGATGAGCCTTTTGCTAATTCATTTTGCATATTAATGACATAATTAAATTTGAATATCAATGTTTGATAAATTAATGAAATGGTAATCTTGCTAATTAATTTTGATGTTTGGGGGTTGTTTTATCATTAATAATTTGGTTCATTTCAACTAAGTTTTAATTATTATTTGACTCATGTATTCAGTTCTGGACCAAATTAATTAAAAGACAAGATTCATTAATAGTCGCTAAACTTGTATTATTATTTTCTAATAAGTACCTAAACCTAGACTCTCACATGTAATATTATTCTTTTATTATTTGTGTCTGATATTGACGAGAGAAAATCGTTTTTTTTTTGTTTTTTGAGGTTATGTATTCTTTTGAAAAAAATGTAAGATTAAAATCAGATTTATTAAAAAATAGTAAGAAAAATGACAAATATGTTTTTCTTTTGTGAAACGAAAAACCAACGAATCTTATCGTTAGGACAATCAAATCCTACTTTCCATAATTCGTTCAAAATTAATTCAAAACTCCACCAAGTTATTTCAATTTTGCTCTATCTCATTAGACCATCAATTACACTTTTGTTCACAAATTCTTTATTAAATAACTACATTTTTTTCATAAATTGATTGTAATAGGATTAACTTGACACTATCTATCTAATATTGTAGATAACAAGTTGAAGTTTTAATTTATAAAAATAAAAGAATGATCAAAATTGATCTAATCTTCATCTACATTAATTCAATGATACAAAATTTGTGCTAATTTTTTTTGAGTAATGCTACGTAAACTTAAAAAGTAGACTTGATAATCACAACTATTGAATATGTAGTGAGTCTCAATAAATTATAGGACGAAATCAATGATTGTGATTATTAAATCTATTTTTTAATTCTATATAACATTGCCCAATTTTTTTTTCCCACTCGAAAACATCATATTTTTTACACGGTTCTTAATGTCAAATAATTCAGTCAACACACTTTCTAATGTTAAACAATCTTATTAATCTATATTTATCTCTCTCATCATTTTAATTTTAATTTACATAATTAAAAAAAATTAAATTATCATTTTAAAATATAAATATTACAAAATTAATTTTTAATTTTTAATATTATATAGTGTCTTCAATACCGATTATTACTAGGAACAATATTATAAAATCCATATAAAAGTCAAAAAATTATACTAAATGCATATCATTTATTGAATAAATGAGTCCATTAATTTTTTCGGTGGGATCCGCTCATTTTACACTCATGTGAGTGATAATATGCATTTAAATTTTAAGTTTGAATTATGTTATATGACATTTTTTTTTTTTTTTATGCCTACACGGCGAGTCACCGAAACTGGCGGTGATCGAGGGACTGTTAGTACCAAACCTACCAAGCAGTCTGCTGACTGGACGAGGATTAGTCCCGGACTTTTAGGAAGTAGTCCGCTGACTGGTTGGATTGATTCAGTTGGCACGGCATGGTCAAACAAGGCCATTATGTGGTATGATCACAGCACCACACTATCTCAGCATTTTGATTGGTAATCTTGGACATTTGTGTTCGACAAAGTCTATGCCAATGACCCACGAGTAGTTTACACAGAAATGTATTGAATGGGTATAACTTGGCGACCATGTCCATCCACTGATTAGAGTTTGATTCTTCTCATCAATTAATTAGGTATTGATTTACATACAAGAAATGCATGACTATGAGATAATGATATATGTGTAATCAATAGGGGTAGCCTAATTGGCCAGGGTCTCTGATTTTCTAGTGGGAGGTTAGGAGTTTGAAGTTTTTTGGGCACAAAAAAACGTGATTGTTTGGTAGGACAAGACCTTAATTGCTTGGACGAACCATATCCAAGTCTCTAGTGTGAGTCTTAAGTCCTCGGCGAAACGTAAGTTCTGATTTAAATGATATATAAATTGAAGAACTCGATTCATACACTCGGACTTTGCCCTTAATTTTATTCAAAGTCACGAACCCGAGTGATATAAACACGTCTCTAGTTACTGATGATAAATCATGAGATTTTCTTGTATCCAGAGATATATTTGTTAAAAAATATTTATAGCTCTGAACATCCAAACTAACAAATTTAGGACAAGAACAATAACGTTTGACTCAAACAAAGAGAGAGCAATTTTTAGTATTAGTTATAGTTGAACACACTAATATTTGAGCTTTTGTATGCCATTTAATATTTAAAAATATTTATTATAAATCTCTCATTTCTATTTAGACTCATCATCCATCTATGACTTAATCAATAGTTAATTAACTATGCATTGCGTGTAATAATTAATGTCCTTAAACAATTAAGGTTGATATGTCATTTTTTTAAGGGACACTAACGAAACACATTAGCAAATATAAGTCTACAGCAGTTAGTAATGCGACTTGATTAAAAAATGAGGCTTTTACATGGGGCGGAGTCAAGAAAAAGGTTCTAGATGAGCACATAAGTAGGATTTAATTATTTTTTTAACTAATCATGGGAATTTATAAATTCATATTTATTAAAATTATATTTAATATTAAAAGTTTTTTAAACATAAAAAATTAAAAATTGATAAACATAGCATGAACAAAAAAAAACAATTAAATTTTTTATCAAGAATGAAATTAATTATTGTTACTTATAATGGACCCTGATATATATATTTTTTAATTATTTGAAAGAGTTACAAATTAATCTTATCGACAAATATTTTCTTTATATATAAAATGTGATAACAATATCTCATTTATGATTCTTTAGTTTATGACAAAATGACACTCATTTTTATACAATAACAAAATAATTCAATAATTTTAAATAAAATTATAAAATGACCCCAATATGGCCAAAATTTATTTCGACTCGTTTAAAGAGTGTCTACAAATTTAGACACTAATTAAATATATATGAATTTTATTTTAAAAAATATATATTTAATATAAAAAAAAAAATTGAAGGTGGGCACTTGTCCATTGGTGGCACGGCCCCTGACTTTAATCATCAAGAAGTAGAAACGGGGATGCAAGACGACAAGCGGCCTCCAGTCAGTGGAGAAGCCATAATCGCCAAAAAAGTGAAAAACCATTACAACACGTATTAAGACTCATGGAAACAAGAGCTAAGTGATCCCCAATAGTCCCTATGAATACCAGTATCTCTACTGAAACTCAAACAACTCAATGTTACTTACCAACTTAGTTTTGATGGTGTCTTATGAGCTATTGACTAGAGATCAACGATTTGAAAATTTTGTTAAAGATGCAGATGAGAATTATTGGAATATTTAGTCAGAATTTTTGGGCTCTTAGGATTTAAACAACGGCTCTTGAAGTTAACTAGCTACAAACAAAGATCATAAGACAGAGAATTTATAGTGGTTCATTAACTCGAGAACTTGACTAATTCACTTTAATGAAATTTCTTGTTTGTGAAAGAGTTTTTTATTAATCGGAGAAGAAGATTACAGAATTACACAGTATCAAAGACAGGGATGCTTGATTGATTACAATGCTGAGAGATTTGATATGTATTTATAATATGCAGTTGTTTTGCATGATTGCCTTCTATCCCGTAATCAACATGATTTTTTTGGGGTTGTCATGTGTCCGAATATTTGGTTGTTAGAGGTTATATTCTCTAGGTGTGATATAATTTTCTAGAAAATGCGAATCGTCATTATCACTGTGTGTATGAGTGTCATGTCGATAATTATTCTCGACTTGTAGACCCCAATTTGAGAGATCCAATCTTAGATGTCTGAATTAAGAGGTTCAAGTTCAGCCTTAGCTAATTTTTTGTGTCACCAAACTTCTCGACATATCTCCGCAACAAGTGAATGGGAGTATGTTTGGCGCTGGTCGTGGATGGGCTTTTCGGGTCGAAAGTCCATTTACCACATTTTTGGACGTCAAATATTGAGCTCCATTTTGAATTTTGCCATGGATCAACCCGGCCCAACAAATATTTTCCCTCCTACCCTTCCCGCCAAAACTCAGCACAATCCCAAATAATAACACACCCACATCAGGAAAAAAATCAATCAGATACAATCCCAAACATCACCGAAAAATCAGTACTCTGTAACCCCAAAGCAATGGAGAAGGGTGGCGGTGGCGGTGGTGGTGCAGCCCCCACCGGGTGCTACAAGTGTGGCCGTCCAGGCCATTGGTCCCGGGACTGCCCTTCCAACCCTAACTCCAACCCCAATTCATCTTCTAATGGCAATTCTAAAACCACAGGGTATGCTTTCAAGGCCGGTGGTGGTGGCGGCGGTGCTTCGATTGCAAAGCCAGCCCAGAAGCCCAAGAAAGTTCCGAGATCGAGACCAAAGCTTACTCCGGAGCTTCTTCTCTCCGACGATGGACTCGGTTACGTCCTTCGGCACTTTCCTCGCGCTTTCAAATATCGTGGCCGAGGACATGAGGTATTTATTCTCACTCCTATTAGCCCTTCAATTTGCATATGGATTGTTTGTATTATATTTCACACACCCATCGCCAGATTAGTGATACTTACAAATCTGCATTTATATATAAGTATATATAATACTATAGGCGGTTCATCAAGGGCTTATCGGGTGATTGCTTTTCATTTTTATATATCTCAGTAATGACTAAGAGGAAAAAGTATCTGGCCACTTCGTGCACAGTAATGACAAAGGTTAGGTATTTATTCAATACATCCCGACTCGGGTCCTCTTCTATACTATATTCCCTCAGTTTTAGATTACCCATTTTGAATCAGGTGGACTTCATTTTATTCAACTGGGTATATCATCAATACAATGTCGGTGATCTAGAACTGACTCAATTGAAGGAAGGAAGAATCCTATTCCAGTCAACCCATCCTATGTAATTGTGGGATTCGTGGTACTGCATGTAAACTGGCTCCATGCAGCAATTTAATTGATCATATTAAACCGAACTCCATAGACAAGCAATTATAAAATCAGTTTGGCTATAGTAAGTGCTTTTTGTTACTTGATTTGCCCATTTCTACTACAGAAAATTTTAATGACTTCTCAGAACATCTATTTTCTGCATATAAATATTTATGAAGAAAATTTGCCTTCTGTGGAGAATGTTCTGAAGTTTTTACCTTTCTGAAATTATTAAAGCGATGATTATTGAATTATCCTTTGAGTGGAAAGATAATTAATTTGCTTTATAAACTATTTCAAGAAATGACATACATTGAGAAATCATTAGTCATTTCCTACACCATAAGAGCTCCTCATCCTGCTATGTGATTTGTTAGTGGTCTACTCTCTAACTTTTTCCCTGAATATGTGGATTATAATGGATCAACTTCTCAGTTAACATTGTTTATAAGTTTGAAAGTAGTATGTGACTCTGTGTGTGTGGTTGCCCAAGTTTTGCGGCATTAAGTCGCAATGTGTATATTTTTGATGGTCATGGAATTAGAACCATGTTGCCCCACCCAACACTATAGATGCCAGTTTTCCGTGTATTGGGGATGCCATGTCTATTTCTTTATCCACGAGAAAATTACGTTTTCAAACCTTCATGTCTCTTAAAGCATTAGCACGGGTGTCTATACATTCATTTAGCCAATTTTACAAAATTGCACATCTAGTATCCTAACCAATATATGAGCTGCAGAAATTTTTATGCCCTTTCCCCTTCAAGAAACTCATGATATGCTTATTTTTTTACTCTCTATGGTCATTTCATATATATCTTTGAGGTTGTGCATACTCTCATGAATTCCCTAAGGAAAAAACCATCACATCCTTACTTCCACTGGATCTGGGGTGGCACCTGCATCGACAAGTGAATCAATACAGTGTATCAACAAAACAAATATTTTCCATATCCAGCATTCTGCAACATGCTTTTTTATGCTGTGGCTGTGAAAAGTCTTGCATCTGCAATGCAGTTTTGCACTTATTTATCTCTCACTCATGCTATTGATTGGAAAAAAACTGGATTTTTTAAAATTGCTAAAGCTGCTGGATTATTTTCTTGTTTGGTTAGGTATTTTGTGTTAATGATATTTGATCTTTCACTGATTTCTGGACATGGATTCCAGAGTCTATGAGTCATATCTTGGATCAATGTTTGAGTTTTATCTGGAGTGATGGATGTTCTAAATCTAAATAATATTGGTCTCAAGGAGTCATGGCCCATGGGTTTCCTATTTGTGTAATGATAATCCTAATAGAAGTAGTCAGGTTATGTCTCTCTATCTTACCCTTTAAATTCAATAGTGATGAAGAGATGAATTCTGTTTTGAGATTAGAATAATTTTGGCCTAGGGTTCAATTTCTAGGGAATTGTCGGGGGAATTTCTAGATGCTGCTTCGTCTATCTCTTTTTTGCTTGTAGTTTGGACTTTGGTATCAGAGGCATCAGATCTTTAAGTCCTCTCAACCCTCAACCAGCTTTACAAGCCCAAATTTTACCCTCAACAAAGATGTAATTAGCAACCAAATCATTCAAAGAAACCAATTTAATCTTACTTTAAGGTCCTAGAAAAGTCCCTCAAGCTACTCCCTTCAGTTCGGTTAATCCCTATTCCTTTCTTCCCCCTTGCCCGATCTCTGAGCCTTTAAATTAGCGCACCAAAATCCCTTGAATTGCTTGTTGTCAAGAGAATTTCAGCACATTTTCTGGAACTGAACACTTCCTAAGAGTTCGTTTGTTTAGCGGGAGAATGATAGAAAATGCAAAAAAGAGAAACTTTTTAAAATTTTCATATATTTGGTTAACATGAAAAGAAAAATGATAGAAAAAATAATTTTCTTTCTCACAAATAACCAACTTTTTTTTTTGTAAAAAACACAAGAAAATGCAAGAAAATTATAATTTATAACTAACTTCCTATTTTACCCTTATTTTTTTAAAAATATTTATTGGTTATTAATTTTAAAAAATCTTGGTATGGATTTGATTAATTATATAATTGGGCCCAAAAATCTCCGTGTTGGTCATTATCTTAAAATTACGTTTCAAGCATTTTTTTAAAATTTTTTTAACTTTCAATTATAATTACATATTTTTTTTTCTTTTTTAGACCTATTTAATATAATTAAGGGTAATTTAAACAATTATACAAAATTTCTTATAACTTTACTTTCTTTCAAACTGTAGAATGAAATTTCTTTAAAACTTTCCCGTAAATTTTTCATTCTAACCAAATACATGCATAAAAATATATTTTTTATTATTTTCTTTTCTTTCACTTCACTTTCTATCATTTTCACTTTTCATCATTTTTTTTTCCTAACTAAACGGAGCCTAAATCATGTTGGTTTCGATCCTCTTCCACCCTAGAACCCTAAAACAGCCTTCGATCTTGTAATACCCTAACCATAGAGCCGTCCTACCAAACCCCACTTATAAAACCCTATGTGTTCTTAAAGCCCTTCTGCCAACTTGCCACTAGTTACTAGTCAAATGTAGGACACTCCTATTGTAATAAATCTTCAAGATATGTTTTAGAAAATATTTTGATATTTCATGAAATGTTGACTATAGTTCAGTCACTGTATTCCATCTTTCATTTTTGATTAAATGCAAAAAACTAGCAAATAATGTAACATTCCTACCTGTAAGTGTTACTGGTTGATTAAATATCATATTGTCCACGAATGATGGAGCTGTATGTTGTTCGCTTTTACCTAGTTGAAACTGTTTGCTTAAAAAGTTTATTTGTTGTTTTTATCCAATTAATTATAAGGTTACAATACATCAGCAGGCATATTTATTTTTGCTTATTGTTCCTGTCTGTCATTGTCACTGAATGACTTGATTTGCTACCTCTATTATTAAAGAATTATTGTTAATTATCTTCAGGTTAGCGATTTGGGGAATCTACTTGGCTTGTATGCTGAATGGCATTCACATTTGCTTCCATACTACTCATTTGATCAGTTTGTCCACAAGGTTGAACAAGTTGGTGCCACAAAACGTGTCCGGGTAAACGTTATTTTGCCGGTCCCTGATTATTAAGTTTTTATACTATGAGCAAGCGAAATGATGTATGGATAACAAACCAAAGTTTCATTCTTTTCTTCTTTATTGTCAGAAAGAAACATAAATATAGGCACACCCTTTACAAATGCTGAAATCTAATTGGACACTGGCCAAAATAAATAAGCAGACTGCCGTTTTGTGTATTGGATGGCCAACAATTGCGATAATCTCATTTTTGGGATTTAACAATATATTGGCTATATATAAAAATTGGGATGCTAAACTAGAATAACCCTGTGGCTACTGAAGAATCTATTATTTATTCATTTTTGCCTTGCTTATCCTTCAAAGTTTGCTTACATTTTTAACCTGCAAATACGATATGATGTAGTAGGTAACTCTTCAGATCTGTACATCTTTAAGTGTTTACATGGCAGAAGTGTGTTTAGCCTTTTATTTTTATTCTTATTATTATGAATGGTATTATCGTTAGTATAATGTTTAAATCTATAAATATAAATGATGAACGGAGAGAATCCTAACTCTTATCTTACCTCTTTCTCAGTAGCCTCCTTAATTTTTTCCTTTCTTCAATGATTTATACTTATTCAACATTATATTCCCACATAATTGCTTATTGTGCATTGACAGTTTACACATTCCTTGGTTTTTCTCTTTCCAATCATTTGAAGACCACATTGAATTAGCTTTATCTGTTTCTATGCTGGAATTGGAGAGGTAAAAAGAAGGAATGTTGTATACAATCGACTGAATATTGTGTAAAGGTTATCACTATGTCATTGAATTGGATAAGTTATATCCACTTTTTAAGAACTTTTTTTTTTCATTTTCGGCTTGCTTTTCCTTGGCATATTCAACTTTAGCGATGCTACAACTTTATTTATCTACTGGTGAATTAGAAGGCATATGAAGAGGAGGAGGTGAACAATATACAGTTTTTTGTATGTTTGTGAATTGAGATATTCTACTTGCATGCAGTGTAAATATCATCATTTGAACATAGTTGTCAAATTGCGTATTGGAAGCGGTATCGTTTTTTAAAAATAGTGTATCGTATCGTGCATCGTAAGATACGCGTAATTTTATATAATTATTATTAAAATATATATATACCTTTGTAAAAAGTCATAGATTCATAATAACATAACATTTTATTAATATTCTACCAATTATTCAAGTTTCCAACATAGTTAAGTAATATCAAAATGCAAAGACTTCTAATTCAAATTTCTAATACTAATTGCTTGAACAACTTTAATATTAATTAAGAATTTTGAATTCAATTGAACAACATTAACAACAAATTTTATTTTATTTTTAAATCATAACCACTGAAATGACGTTATTTTACTGGCTTGTGATTTAAAAAAAGTCTTTGGGTGAAATGATGTTATTTTAGCTCCAAAAAATCACAAAATAAAATTCAAAAAAGAATCTTCACAAATCGTGCGTATCATACGATACTGTACAAAAACAATATAGAAACACCATACTTATCATTTTTTAAGTGAATCGTGACGAATTGTACGATACGCATAACTATGCACCCGAATAAACAAAATAGCTTTGAGAATTCTAAATACTCTAGTTTGGCGGTTTCTTTAATAATTGATTTCATAATCTTTGTATCTATAATAAAACATTCTAAGGATGCCTTGATTGATAACATGCTTAAACCTAAATCTTAGTTTTGTACTTGTGTTGTCCCAAAATTAATGAATTACGTCTTCCTGAAGCTTTACCTTTTTAATGCCATGTGTGGTGAACCATAGATATATGAGGAGACAACCAAAATATTGAATGCAACTCCTCAAACTATGGGGAAAACAACGAATGAGTCCTTTTCTCCCTTTCAAATATCATCTAGTTCTATCAAATTGTATTATGACAATGCAATCCTACATTTTGAAGATACTTTCACAAAATTTATATTTTTGTTATTTTTTCTATTTGATGTACTATTTTGATATCAATAAAATCGACTTGTTCCTATCAAAAAAAGTTTAATTGGTTAACTAATAACGGGAAAAATGAAGAACTAAAAAAAGTAAGTGTTGGAATATAATATCTTCACAACACATGGTTTTGGGATTTTGGTTCTACTGGGAGAAGTTTTGATCGGCACAATTGTTGTCAATGATGTTAAGTTGCCCTAGAACGAGAAGGAAAGAGAAAGAGATTAAATTATAAGAGAGTGGTTTTTTGCTGGAGGTTTTGTGTGTAAAGTGCTTTGATCGATATCTTCATTCAAAATTTTGTTTGATCAAAAAGGACATTGAAAACTTCTATTGTTTATTTCAATAGAAAAAAATTATATTTTAGTTTTGTACAACGATTTGTTGTGGTTGGATATCGAATATTTTTTAAATTTTTTGTTGATAGAAACTATTGGTTTGTAATTTTTAGATTTTGTGTGCAATGGAGTTTTCATTTTTCCCTTTATGTGTAGATTGCTTTTCGTATCTATGTCCATATCCTAGGTTATCCCTTTCGTATTCACTATTGAAAAATATTTAATTAATTTTTTGGTACACCAGATACTTATCCAAACGTATCAGACGCGTACCCTAACAGGCGTGTTTGTGCTGCATAGATCTCTTGTTAAAGTGGCAATAGAACTTAAAAAAGACATTTAAGCAACAGCTTTATACATTAAATAACGAAGGAAAAACTACACAACTCATAGCTTTCTATGGCGTGATTTTGTCTACAATTATTCCATTTCCAACATGTTAACCTGATAATTCAGGTATTACTTAGACCCCTAAAGAATCCACTCATTTACCATTAGAAACTCCAATTAGAGATCTTCTGTTGATGATTTTGCATTTGTTAACATTGTTATGCATTTGATCTTCGTATTGATTCTTACTTTTTCAAGCAGCTGTGTATCAAAGAATTGCGAGAGAAAGTTGCGAACGGTGGGGATCCAACCAAGCTACAGGAACCTCCAGTTCAACATGATGTTTCAAATCATGAACAAGGTACCTCATATGTTGGTTACTTTGTAATGTTTGCAAGGCTCTGCTGAATGTCTATCGGCACAGGTTCTGACAAACTTTCTAAAGATAAGCATAATATTTTTTGGATCTATGGTTTAATTACTCAAGGAATTGCGATATATAGCAAACCAGCCACATGACAGCCATTTGTCACTCTGGTTGTGTATGCGGGATTTGTCAAGTATTGCTACTTGCATACTCTTAGTGCAGAACATGTCATAGTATTGATCTCATCTTATAGTCTGCAAAGCTAGGTTGGATCCCTTTTCTTTTGGTAGCTTTGCTTGGAAACTTAAGTTTGTGAGCATGACAAACTATGACGTTGTTGTGTTGATGTCATAAAAGATCAGTAGAACTTGTAAATTTGCTTGCAGCATGGTTAGCAATAGGTATGAAACATGAATTTAGCAGCTAAGCCACTGCAAGCATGATTAATATGGAGCACTCAAACAAGAAAGCAGCTAGCTAGAAATTTGATACGGGGATTCTAGGGAATTTTCCACCGATTTTATTACGTTAGGTTGCCTTATGTTTTAGCTAGTCAGAGGTTTTTTCTTGATGAAGCTTATATTTGTGACCCTCCTCGTAGCCATAATCCTTGGTTTCTATTTGTTAGTAGATGATTGATTATGTTTTTAGTGTTGACTTTTTTGGGCAGAAGCCATATTTCCTTTGGCAAGGAAGTCAATTATTGATAGTTGCACATGAGCTTAATGCTGTAGGACAGGAAGGACTAGAAATCAAAGAACAGAAAGAAAAAAAGAAAGAAAAAAGGGTGGAAAAGATTTATCTCATTCTCGCAAGGAATTGGTCAAGGAATACATAAAATTCTCTATGGAGAAACACTTTTTTATTATATCACTTTCTGTTATAAAAATAGTTGGGATTACACCATTATTTATAGGCCAAGTTTCCAACAAAAATAAAAACTATTATCCTATTAAAATTTTAAAAGAGTTTCATAATCAAACTCTTAAACTCTTATACTATTAAAATTCTATAATAATTTTCTAATCAAATTCTTACTACTCCTAACCAACAAATAACTCGTAAATCAAATAATAATAATACTAATACTACTACTCCTACTACTAATAATAATAAAACTACCAATTACACTTCCCTTAAGACAAAAAAATCCTAGTTTTTTTTGTCAAGATTTTCAAAGTCGATTGTATTGGTCCAACCAACCAGTGGCTGCGTTATCAATTCTCCCTCGCTGAAAAGAATTTGACGCTGGCGAGTAAGGAGGGCCAAGAATATCATTTGATGGAAAAGTTCTTTGAATCAATAACAAACTCTTTTTCAATTGTAGTGTATGCGTATTAAGAGCGCAAGTAAGAGTATACTTTTTTCTTCTAATTGCAAAAGAATAAGTATTAGCACGCCTTGCATGTTGTGCATCACGATCCCATATCCAAGTGCGTCCTAAAAGTATATGACAAAGTTTGAGAGACAACATATCACACATAATCATAGTTATTAGTATCGTACGATACGACAAAAAAACGATATGTATCGTCTCTGTATTATTTTTCTGTTGTATCATACGATACGATAAGATACGTCCGATATGTGACGATTGTATTTTTTATTTTTATTTTTTTGGGTTAAAATGACATCGTTTTATCGTAGGACTTATTTTTAAATTACTAGTCAATGAAATAACGTCGTTTCAGTGGTTATAATTTAAAAAAATTAAATAAAATTTGTTGTTAATGTTGTTCAATTGAATTCAAAATTTTTGATTAATATAAAGGTTGTTCAAGTAGTTAATGTTAGAAGTTTGAATTAAAGGTCTTTATATTTTGATATTATTGAACTATGTTGAAAACTTGAATAGTTAATGGAATATTAATGAAATGCTATGTTATTATGACTTTTTTATAAATGTATATATATATATATATATATTCTATTAATAATTATTTAAAAATTAAAATTACGTGTATCTTACGATACATGATATACGATATGATACACTATTTTTGAAAAACGACATGCCTCCTGATATGCAATTTGACAACTACGCACATAATGGTCTCTTTGAAGTTTTCAATGATGAATGTAATTGGACATCTCTTATCCATTTTCAGCTTGATATTAATAATTCATGTCACATGATATGGTTTCGGATGTGGTTCAACTTTCAAATTTAGTTTCTTCACAACCTTTTCTGATACTAAATTTGTGCAACTTTTCGTGTCAATCATTAACGAACATATATGTCCTTTACAACTAACTTTTGTCTAAAAGATTTTTCCTTGATGAATAAATTCACTATTAGCAACTTTTTTATTAGCAATAAGTAGAGGACGGATAACACCCACAAAATGATTATCACCCAAATTATCAAAATTAACATCATCTACATCAAGAGGTTTTATGATCTCTGTTTGAAATTCTGGTTCATCAGAATCATTATGCACCTTAGAAATTTTCTTTTCAACCACAGTAACAAATTTTAAAGGACATTAACAAGAGAGATGATCAAAATCATGACAATTAAAATACCTCGTCTTAGAATTAGTACTCCCTTGAGAAGAAGAATTAACACTAGCCCAACATGGTTTGTTTGGAATAAAAGTATTCTCTAGGGGTTTATTGGTGGACTTACTTTGACTTGCATCTACGACAGTTCTTTCGATCTGGGTTGGAGGTGCCATAGAAGATCTCATATAAGATCTCTTTTTCTACACATTTTCCATTTGATAGGCATCTTGAGCTGCATCTGCTATGGTATAAAGTCTACTTGCAGCAAAACCTGTAGAAATATGAGAATTAACTCCTTGCCTACACATGACAATCATCACATCTTCAATCCAAGGGAACTCTGATCGGGTGGCCAAGTTGTAGAACTTTCTTGTGTTTTTCTTGACAAACATGCTACCTTGATATAACTGTGTGAATTGGAGATAAGCTCGTTGCTTATAATTAGCAGGTATAAAGTAGCGAGTCATAGCAATCTTTATATCATCCTATGATCTATCAAAGTGAGTTTGTTGGTGTTTTATCCACCAAAGTCTTGCTGTAGCTTTCAATTTTGATTCTGCAAAGAATAACTTCCTTTCATAGGTCAAATGATGCCATCTGAAGAAGTTTTCAATGTTATGCAACCAATCAAAGAATATTTCAGGATTATTGTCCTTATGAAAATCTCCAACTTCTAATTTAATTCCTTTATCAATATCAAAGAATCTCGGTTCTTTCTGAACTTGAGCTTATGGTGGAGGAGCTTGTACAAGTACTTGTGGAGGATTGATGACAGAAGATAATGGACTAGTATTGACGTTTTTCTCAACTCTTTTATCCTTCTTATCTAAGAGATAAGCTTACATGATTTCTTTTAGTGATGTTATGGACACTTCTAGTGAATCCATCCTCTCATTCATTGTGAGGGATCGACCTTCCCATTACCGGGGATATACCTCCCTCCAAGAGCAATCCTCCCCATTACCGGGGATATCCCGCTCTCCATCAAAGAATTTCGGCTGACCTGCGGGGCAAACCCCCACAGTAGCCTTTACCTCTGTCCCACATCGGGGAAAGAGTCGTCTCCCCACCCCCATATAACTCGAAGCACCATATGAGAGCAATACCCAAGTACCATAGTGTGCTACTTGGGTACTGCTCTCATATGGTGCTTCGGCTTATATGGGGGTGGGGAGACGATTCTTGGGTACTTGGGTACGATTCTTGGGTACGATTCTTTTCCCGATGTGGGACAGAGGTAAAGGCTACTGTGGGGGTTTGCCCCGCAGGTCAGCCGAAATCCTTTGATGGAGAGCGGGATATCCCCGGTAATGGGGAGGATTGCTCTTGGAGGGAGGTATATCCCTGGTAATGGGGAGGTCGGTACTTGGGTACTGCTCTCATATGGTGCTTCGGCTTATATGGGGGTGGGGAGACGACTCTTTCCCCGATGTGGGACAGAGGTAAAGGCTACTGTGGGGGTTTGCCCCGCAGGTCAGCCGAAATCCTTTGATGGAGAGCGGGATATCCCCGGTAATGGGGAGGATTGCTCTTGGAGGGAGGTATATCCCCGGTAATGGGGAGGTCGATCCCTCACATTCATGGTCTTTTGTGAATTAACTTGGGCTTAGGATAAAGCTTCTACTTTAGCATTTAATCAGGTGTTGGAAACCATATTGATGGAATAAGTGAGTTGAAAAATTACCAAAAATTTTGGGGCTAAATTGTAATTTCAAAAAACTTTAGGGCCAAATTGAAATTTTAGAAACTTTTGGGATAGAATTGTAATTTCTAAAATTTCAAGGGTTAAATCTAGGGCTAAATTGAAATTTCAAAAACTTCTAGGGTAGAAATTATAATTTCAAAAATATTAGGGAAGGCCAAATTGAAATTTTATAAACTTTTAGGGTAGAAATTGTAACTTCATAAATTTTAGGGGTCAAATTTATAAATTAAGTTTTTAGTTTCTTGGACCTCACCAAATTAAATTTTGAAGTCATGGTTGCAAAACTTTCAAAGATCTTAACTGATTTGTTTGAAGGGGAACTAATGGGCCTTTGGTCTAATGGTACTCCTTACCTTGTGAAGGGTTCGTCTTCTTGAGTCAAGGGTTCAAGTATCCCATTCCCTCTCCTAAAAAAAGAAAAAAAAAAATTAAGTTTAAAGGGGAGAAATTTGAGGAAAGGAACAATTTTGGATTTTGGTAAGTCTAAGTTAATTAGGTGTACAACTTAGGCGGGTCAACCTATATTCAACTCGAATCCAACTAAAAAAAAATAGAGTTTCGATTGAGATTTTTAATACTTAGGTTGAGTCTAGATCAAAAAATTTCAACCGAATTGAATTCAAGCAACACTCAAATTGTGGCATTAGTTTATTGGGTTCAACTTGAACCCAACCCGAATTAATAAAATCGGGCTCAACCCAAAATTTTAATATATATATTTTCTAGAGACTAGGGTTTGTCCTCTTAGTCCTTCGCTCACATTGCCTATCTTATCTCATTCTCACATCCCTCTCTCATTTTAGATCTCTCACTTGGTAATGCCCAACGTTT